AAAAAAAAAAGAAAAAAGAAAACCAAGTGCTTCCTACGAGTACGACTAAAACGGCCTTAGGCCACCCTTGTATTATCTTTTTTGGACCAATTCCGCTTGTTTTTTTCTATTCCTGTGATCGTTCGTTTCTTTGTTGTCTGTATTTTTCGATTATTTCGTGAGACATGCGAAATGTGTTTGGGCCATCACGACTTCTATCATGCAATCGCTCCGTCGAGTAGTGCTCCTCGTCGTTTAATGTGTCAAATGTTTCTCTCATTCGTGCGTGAAGTGTTCCTTGAAAAATTGAAGAAAGAGAAGAGAGAGAGAGAGAGAGAGAGAGAGAGAGAGCATAGAGTTCGATTCTGACAGATGAGTATTATCGTTCAATTTCTTAAATGAAAATCGTATTGTATATTACGTGTTCAGTATTGTTCGGTATTTAAGGTAACGTTTACGGATCACGTGTGATATTTGATTATATTAATCATTGAAATTAATGTTGAATATAAAAATCACGTTAAATTTCTAATATTACAAATTTATGTAAGGTGGTCTAAAAAGAGGAGAATAATTTCCTATAAATTTTCAAATTACTCCTTCTTAACTAAAGAATCAAAGACACACACATATTTTACACATCTGTAATCACCTTTATACGTGTTTATTAGTTCACAATTATTAAAGTCAGATTTTCCTTAATCGAAGTAATATTCGCGAGATTAATATCCTCGTGTCACATTGCAACATTTTCAAAATTATCTAATATTTTACATTCGTTCAAATTTTCATCCCCAAAGCAAAGAAGATCCTCTGTATCTCCAACTGTAATTTACAGAACAACTATTCCAATATTTCCTTTCTTCAAATCCTCTTTGTAAATCTCCCTTGACCACCTCGCATCTGTAGACAAAATATCTCGTCACGCACTTTGGATTAACATTAAATTAACATTGTGTATATGAAAGAGATTGGCAAAACGAAGAGAATGTTTTGCCTTGGTGAGCAAAATGATTTCATTATGTTGAAATTCTGAAGTAATTCGAAACACAATATCTCGCTGATATTACTATCATCGCCGAGAAAACTGTTCTTGAAATAACTGAAAAGAAAGGATTTGAATTTGAATTTTCTTTTTTCTAAATCGAGATTCCTTACGAATCGATTTATTAATCATTCGCAGTCATAGAAGAAAATTCTTTTATTACACGTGTCAATCATGAATATTATATTAACAATAATCCAAAGCAAAGTGTCAGAGAAGCAAAATTTCACAAGATATTTCGCCGTCCGGTGCGTGAAAGTTTGATTAATTGAATCGCAAGAGATTTTCTATCTAATCCGTATGTGTCGGTGTGTATTGTGTTCCACGAAGATGTCTCTTTCTCAATTTTTGCCCGAAACTCGCGAACGGTGGTCATCGCGCTCGAAGATCATCTCGTCGAAAGGAAGACGAGGCAAGCAAAGTAAACGCTACCCCCCTCCCCTCGATGGCGTGATAGAAGTCGATGTGTGGTTCGGTTCTGATGGAGCATGTGATATGTGTTTTCCAGGGTACAGCAAAACCTGCATGCCTACTGTAAGACAGATAATTGACTGTCTCGTTGCTGCTCGACCCATGCCAATCCGATGCGGCCCCTGCCTTACTGCTAAACGTACTAATACTGCTACTAACAATCGCGGTAGTAACGGCGCCAGTCGCGTTAGTAGCACGGCTAACAGCAACAACATCAACAGCTACATCAACAACAACAAGAATTTACACGCCTACGAGAACATTCAGAGCTTTAGTATGCGCGAGAATGTCCCGATCGGTTGCGCGACCAGCCGCGACTAGGATTTCCGTTTACCGCAGTGCTGGGGAGGTTTGGTCGTCAACCCCTTGCCAGATGATCACCTGACAATTCGTTTTGATTTTGAATTTTGTTTACTTCATTTCGATCCTATCTATCTTATTAAATTTCATTTCAATTTAATTACATTTATATTAAACTGGATAAAAAGTCCAGTAGCTTTTGATACAAAGATGTGTGATGTACAGATTGGTCTAATTTACTGGTCCGAGCAAGCTACTCTTGAAAGATGTAAGAGTTATGAATCTGAATTTTCGTTTCGAACAGTTGATATTCTTCACGAGTGAAGAAAATAAAGGTATAAATTGATTTGTCATATTCTTTTGATTCGAAGATTTCTGCTGAAATTTCAAGACACTGGAGCTCAATAAACCTAATGTTTTAGCATTAACGAATTAATGTTGATGTTAATTATGTTTGAACTCGATTTAGATCTTTTATCCCGATCATTAATCATGCGAGAACAATTCTTATAAGAATAAATTGTTACTTATTTTATTGTTAGTTCATTTTGTTTTTACTATCTCAT